CTCTTTAGTCCATTACTAAATTTCTGAGTAATCAAGACAACAGGATGATTATCAGAAGACGCATTGTCCACACAATGAGCCTAGTATGCACACAAAACATAGAAAATCTGATGAACATGAGCATTCTTCATCCACAAAGAATCAGGGATCTTTTGACTATTTAAAATTAACTGCAGGATAGTTACCATCTCTAATATTTCATATGTCATGAAAAAATTCTTCAAGTAAAGTCAATATAGTACATGAGAACACTACATTTGACATGCTCAATCAAAATCAAGGACACAAATATATGGGTATAAACTGACAACTAGAATATAAAACTATAGTGAAAAGATGTGATGAACAACTGTATTTTACATTCAACGAAATACAACAGAGATAATGACGCAGAACAAAAAACCTTAGATCCCAACCAAACGATAAGATTGTTATAATGCCATAACATAGAAGTATGAAAACTCTACAAATGACAAATAAAAAAGAAAAAAACACACCCTCTCAGGAGAAATGTAGCATTGACCATTTGGTTTAGCAGTTCTGGTGGCCAGACGAGCCATAAGCATATTCACAGCTATCCCAGCACTTGCAGTGCATCCAGTAGCTTCAAATATCTCCTTCCGTATCACTGAAGCTAAAAGCTGAGGATCTTCCCCTTCCAAGTCTGTGACATCTAAAAATGCTTCATCACAGCTGACAGCCTACTTTCAACAATAATTACAATGTTAAAGATAACAAAGGCTTTTTTATTTTCAAAAAAAAGGACTTATCCAAGTACATTCGTGAGCAGACCTGAACTCTGTTGCAGTGCTTATGCAAGATGTTATAAAACTGATCAGCAACCTGCACACTGCCAACAGATTACATACGAAAAACCTGTATAACAGGAACAGTAATCTAACAACAAAAACCCCAAAGTCTTTTCCTACAATGTTGGGTCAGAGGCATGGATCATATTAAACTGTAGTGCTTTATCTAGGATCGTATCATTGGTAAGATCAGCTAATTCAAGGTCCTTTCTGATAGTTTCCATTCATGCCTTCCATGGACTCTCCTTCCCCCTTTTGGCATGCACATCCTCCACTCAATTGGAAAAGCAATGCATAAAAAAAAAGGTAGAAAAGAGGAGAGGAGGGGGCAAGCCAACTGTTCCTTATCTAAGCAAAGTTCAATAGCTATACTGCATATTCAGCTTGTGGTTTACCTCCTCATATGCTTCAAAGTTGTATGAGAGAATAACAAGGTGGGTGCAAAGTGCCTTGGCATCTCTAACAAACATTCCTGCCCTAATTCCTGAAGCACAAGAAAAAAGAATTCACTCCAATGCAGAATAAAAGCTCTCCAACTGAAATATTACAGCAGCAGGGGAGAGATAATCCAGATAAAAACCAACCATAATCTCGAGCAGGATAGTTTGCAGAAGAGATTTCAGCAGTTCCTTTTGGATTGTCTGAATGGCATACAGCTACAGGCTTGTCATGTAATTCAGGATGGCTCCTGATGACCACTGAGACGAAAAAACAGTCCTGAAGCAGAATATTAGTATCAATCCAAAACCACAAGTACATAGGGGAAGAAAACATAGTCCATGTAGACATCTATAAGAGTTACATCCCATCATAAAAGATTAAATTCCAGATACGCCAATATCAATTATGTATATAACTATGATATTAACACTTAAAACAGATGAGAATAGACAACAAAAATTCATGGTTAGAAGCTCAATTCACCATATCAATATGTATAATGGCAGTCTTCTGAGTATCAGCCGAAACATCCAAATGAGAATTCACGCACTTAAACCCATTTGGCAAGCTGGGAAAACGCTTACGATATCTATTTCTCCAGGTTCCTATGAAATGCAGTCTTGAATTCTGCAATAATTAAAGACAGGTTAAGATAAAATCAATTGATCAACATACATAGACACACATGCAACGCACAAATCCTTACGTATGTAGGTATGCGTGCACGGACAAATGACCATCATTTCAAAGGGAAGACAGAAGAGACTATTCAGACCAAGAGAAAAAGCAGTCTAATCAATAAGTTATCACTAGGATATTAACAGTTCAGTTGACAAAATGACCATAAACAAATGCTTGACCAACTAAAATATAATGCGCTACTTGGGTCAAGAGAAGGTTTCCAGGAAAGTATAAACTTCAAATCAACATACACTAATCTATAGAATAAGCTGGTGCTAAGTTTCTAATCACATGCTAATTCAATTAGCTACATGGAAATAAAATTGATAAATTAAAATGACCTAAAGTAGCAGCAGAGGATTACAAAGAACTTATACAATGGCACAGAAAAGTGAGAATATGCAATCGTTTATCTATTCAGTACCTTGAAGTAGTTCTCCACAAAATTGGGATCTCCAAGAGTTGAATGACGCTGCTTCGAAGGTCCAAGGGCTGTTGAATGGGGCAATCCTTTTATACTGTGATTGTCAAAGCAGTGGCTACTAACAGAAGCAGAGGGTTGTTCAGGACAGTACTGAGGTCCATTGTTTTCCTTGCTTTCATCATCTTGTTCCAGATAACTTCGTTCTACCCCTTTTACTTCCTGAGATGCTTCACTATAGCTACTACTTGGCTCCTCAATTACTTTTGAATCAGTATTTCCACGCATAAGTTCATCATGTTCTTCAGTAATTTTCTTCCTCCATTCAGAGGGCTCACCCTCTTCAGAAAATTTTGCGTCTGTTGATGCATCCTTTAAACATAAATCCTCAGTTGCGTGTTTTACTTCACAAATTGCAGCTGTAAAAACACCCTCAGATGCAGGGCTGAATTTTGAAGTGAAGAAGGCTGATAATGTTGGTTGATTGCTAGCAAGCTGGTCAAGCTGGTAGGGAACCCCTTGAGATTAAAACAACATGAACAGTAATTCCATTAGATAGTACAAGTTCTATAGTTCACTATATACATTGGGAAAAATAAGAAAGACAAGGCAGCAATAATGTTTTCAAAGCCAGACCTGTAATAAGGAGTTGCTTGCATTAATAAAATCCAATTCTAATCTCTTTAACAATCTACCCAAACCATTTCACAATGCTTCTCTCATATACTATATAACCATAAATTAGAAATCCACTTAAGTGCATTAACTTACAACTCAAAAGTCTTTTAGCAGCAACAGAATCTAGAATCCACGTTGGTTTCACTACTGGGAGTCCACCGCTGAAGGACCTGCATTCGAAGCACCAACAAAAATACTTAAATCAATTTATAATTGAAATCCAGCTTAATTGTTCAAAGTAGGGTGAGGAAGCAAAAGGGAAAAAAAAAACAAAAATAAGCAATATGAACCTGATATTCTTGATTTTACTGTCAGGGAGATTGCTGCAGATGATATGCGTGACTCGATGCCTAGAAAAATAATTCTCAAATCGTCCACCATAATTCAACATGTATCGCCGCAGTTCCTGTAGATCTCATCATTAGTATCAATAAGAATGTCGCTAACTAAAAGTCATAAAAACGTACTAGTTGTGACTAACAAACAAAGGCAACAGGGAAACATGGATAAGAAATAAACCTGACTAGACGGAACCGTGAAACCATCAACGAAGATAGAAACCCCGTGGAATATAGGCTTCGTAGAAGAATCGCTAAGAGAAGAATTTGAAGCCTCGGCATCAAACTGATTTTGAAGCTTTCTATTCTTTTCTACCATATAACTACAACAAAAGAAATCCATAATTGATATCCGGAAATGTAATCCAATTTTTGGAAATAAGGAAAGTAAGAAGAGAGGTAAAAGATGGAAAAACCTTCCAAAATCAGAGAAAGGAGAAGAGCGGAAAGAGGAGCGAGAGGTAGAGAGAGAATTGGGGCCCCAAGCCATGCCTAGGGTTTTCTGGTTACTTTTTCTCTTCTTGCTATTACTGCTGTTACCCTTATCGTTTGAAGAATTTGAATTGAAGCTTCTTTTCAAATTCTGGGGGCCTGAATTCGCAGAGCGAGACGAATCCAGACTCATTTTTTTGGAGAATAATAAACGAAGTGTGTCCAGGAAGATTGCTGCAGTTGCATTTGAAATGAAGCGGCAATAACGAACCCTCCTTTGTTTTATATGGGCAAGGAAAATGATCTTGGATCTTGAAAAACTTGAAACCTTGATATGGATCGGTTCAGACTGGCCGTTAACGTGGGTTTCAAGCGCGTCACTGGGCTTTATTTGAATTTTATGGGTCCCTCATAAGTTTCCAGTCTTGTTACCGTCAACAAATTTTCTTTTACGAAAATTTGGCTAATAAAAAGTTTGAACAATTAAAAACATTTTTTGGGAAATATAAAATATTTTGAATATATCATTCTCTCAAGACAATACAATTATCTCTTTTTAAATTTATTAAATTTTATGTACAAAAAATTATAAATGGTATTTTTGCTAATATCATTTTATGATTTAAACCAACTAATAAGCACTCACTAGTATTTTTTTCCATTACCAATAGCAAATTGTCTCTCTCCTTAAATAATGTCATCAATAATAGCTGCCACCTCCCACCGACTTGATACTCACCTCAACTTGTCTCTTTAAATGAAGTAGTCTGATTTTTATTTAATTTGTTATGTTCACCAAATTTAAATAAAATAATGTCATTAATTATAAATTTCTTTTTTTAGATATCAACTTAATATTTCGCTTTTATCAATAATAAGATCTATGGGCAAGTATGGGACTAGGGTCTTGAATGAGGGTTCAAAATCTTGCTATAGCATCATGCCCAAATGGCCACTTATTGGGTGATTACATTAGTAAACGGCAATGTGTGCAATTAACACCTCTCAGTCAAGCAGAGAATACACTACAAATACGGTAATTGGCCTAAAAAGATGAAAAAGAAAACTATAAAAACGGTTGATAATTGCCAATGGAATTCCATTCAAGTGATAAAAAGAGGGTAAAAGCTTGAGAAACTCTCATTTTATTTAAAATTTAAAAAAAATGAAGAAAACTACAAAGAACGACCAGCCCTCGTCTCAAAATTGCATTGGTAATTGATTAAGCGTTGGAGATTTACAAGTGTAACCCATACCAAAGCCAACCTAAGCCGAAAAAAGTAAGGACCCACGTGCTGCTACCAAAAACCAAACAACGAAAAGAAATACACTTTGCTTTGGCCCTTCTGCCTTACCCTTTTCATTGTTCCCTCTGTTCGTTCAGTCAATTCTATGAAACAAAAATAGGAGAAAAAGAAAGCACTTTTTAATATATATAATAATATTAATATATAAAATATCCATGAATGTCTTTGAATCAGGAGTTAACTTTCCCAGGTTCCTGGTTTTTGTAACACTTTTTACCCCTTTGATCCTCGTTCAAGATGAGCTGTCAGAATCCCTTCAGACAGACAGACACCAATATGAGAGGGCAACTACAAAGCAACCATGTATAAAAGTATATTTGGAATCTAGAAACGATTCACTGCTTTGTTACATTGTTCCCCATTGCTGGCGACCAGAAATCAGCACCGTTGCTATTTGCCACGTGCACCGTGCAAGCAACTGGGACCAGGCACAGCCCCCTGCTCTTCAGGTCCTTTCGTGAATCTTCACCTCCGTTTTCCCCACCGTCCTAACATCACAGTTAAAAAGACCCTTAAGCCCTTTTGCTTCACCGCTGGTCAGAAAATTATTTATATACTTGATCAGAAAAACTGGTTGTTTTGTACTTACAGGTAGGTGTTGCAGATAAGGAGAGCACAGGACTTGGACCTGGTCGTGCAGGAACTTGATATAACCCATCGCTTCATGGAGTACCGATGCCGTATCTGTCTGCAACATTTTCAAATTCCCAAACTTGTCACATACCACTCATTTTTCCAGTCAAATCAAATTGCATTGCGGTTAACTACTCAGCACTCCTTCCAAAGTCCTTGAATCAAATTAATCACAATTTAAACCCTGAAGGTAAATTTCGCACCTTGCCGAATGGTGAAACCAGCTGCTGCAATGCAGTGATTCTATCCCCTACCTTCTCTTTCCTCGCCTGCCATTTAATGAGAAAAACAATCATCTAGTAAATTTTTATAAGATGGAAACTTCAAAAAACAGACCAATATATGAAACATGCATTTATGTGCGATGAACATGTAAGGTACTAATTTTCGATTTATAGTTATATCCAACCTTTGCATGACCGGTTGAAGTGGCGGGGTTCTCGACCTTGGACTTTTTATCGGTTCTTTGGTTTACCGGCTGAGCTGTAACAATGGCACCCGTGCACTCCACCGATTCTCGACCTCTATTCCTCTTTCTCTTCCAAAGAGTAACAAAAAGTGGTCTTAAAACAGGCAGCTTTCTTTCCGCGAGCTAAACAAAACCCAAAAGCCAAAGAACACAGGCATTGCACTTAACAATTTATTATATATACTCACAGTAGATTTGGAGGGGGCCTTGACAGATTTGCTGTTGTTACCAGAAGAAGCTGAGGAAGAATCACTGCATGTGACGCCGGACCTCTGGGGAGTTGTGGCAGTTTTTGTAGTACTAGCAAGAGGTTCACCAAACACTATTTCAGCATCAGTTTGTTGGCCCCCAAAGCAAAGCATTTTGGGAGTCTTCTGATGAGCAGGAAAAGAAGAGTAAGTGTAGTTAAAACTCTGACCCAGATCAAGACTCACAACATCATCATCACCACCAAACAACAACTGAGAAAAACTAGTAGTTGTTGCAGTCCCCTGGTCCCCCTCAAAACCCTGATCAGTCTCAGCCATCATAAAAACAATTGTTTAAAAAATAAAAAATAAAAACCCAAAAAGACAAACCCCACACGAATGAAACTTAACTTTCAATCTCTTTTTCTATCTCTTTATGCGTATGTTTGTAGTTGGAGATAGCAGCAGCCGTTACAATAGAGAGAGGATTAGTAGACTGCTACTGTCATTGGAAGTGGGTGGTCTAAGCTGAGGGGCTGTTTCCGAGATTGGCTTTGGTTTTCGACTAGTGGCAGTCAAACCCACCCAGCCCGAGAAAACCGTGGTTTATTTGTCCAAAGCATTGGTTTGCAAATTTTGCTTTGGCTAAGCTTATATATGACTGGTTTTCTCCTTCTTTCTTTCTTTTTTGGTCTTCAAAAATCAGAAAAACCTGATCAGTGTTCAGTCACCAGCACCGACTCACTGAGTTGACTTGACAATAAGAAATTACACAATGCAAAACCTTGGACCCACGCCACTATGCCACACGCTCATGGCTCAGTGCTATCCTCAGGACGTACATTTGTAATTGAAAGAGGTTAAAGGACAGAACAATGGTGAGCAAGCGAATAAGTTATGAGAATTGAGCTTTTGGTTGAGGATTTAGCGCGTGAGGATATATATTTGCTAATAAGTTTTCACTTTTGTTTCAGTTTCACAAAACTAACGTAGAGTACAGCAAGTACTTTCTGTGAGTGGTACACATGGGCCCCTGTCCGGATTACCTATAAAGATCGAAATAAGATCAAAAATGCGGGTCCCAAACCCACGTGATCATACCTCCTCCTCACCAGATGACGACGTCAAGGTTCTCTATCAGACGCCCAGCCCTCCATTTGAAATCTTTCTGACCCGATTGCCTCTCATTCCTTAACTAGTTGGACTTGAACCGGTCATTATTGTCTGTCCATTGCCCAACCAAACCATCACTCTATCACCATTTTCTCATTTCTCAACTTAAGTTAATTATTTATATCACATTGTTACGGCCTCGAGTACCAATTAAATTTGATTTGACGTTACAATTAAATAACAAGTGGGCTCAATTATAACGTTTTGTTTAGAACTAAACTTGATTTGACATTATAATCAATAAACTTAATTATGATTACCATATACCATACATTTGATTCCTGAAATAAATAATAATAAAATAATTTTAGGTAATTTGATACAATAAATGAATTAGAGTAAGAACAATTATTATAATTTATTTTAGCATTTGATTGATAAAAATAATTTAAAAATAAAAATAAAAATATTTTTATTATTTAAATAATTGTTTATTTTTGTTTTATTTTTAAATATTAATATGTTATAATTTATTTAAAATACTAATAATTGATAGTTTAAATTTTAATATTTTATTTAGAATTTAATCATTAGTATTATATAATATTACTATTTTATTATAATTTAAATATTATTATTTTGTTTTATTTTAATTTTTAAATATTAATAATTTATAATTTAGTTCAAATATTAATAATTGATCATTTTAAATATTAATATTTTGTTTATAATTTAATCATTAACATTATAAAATATTAATATTTTATTTATAATTCAAATATTATTATGATTATTTATATTTAAATATTAATAATTTTATAATTTTATTTAAAATATTATTAATTGATAATTAAATTATTAATGTTTTATTATATTTCAATCACTAATATTTAAAAATATTGATATTTTATTTATAAGTTAAATGTTATTACGATAATTAATTTTAAAATATTAATAATTTATAATTTATTTAAAATATTAATAATTGATCATTTAATTATTAATATTTTATTTAAAATTTAATTATTAATATTTGAGGGTTGTAAATTTCTAAATTTATGAAAGGTAATTTAGTTATAATAATTTTTGAAGCTATTCCATTAGACATGTAATAGCTAATATTATGAGAGAAGGTGGGTGTAGTTAAAGAAGACTTTTTACCAATTTTGAAAAATAGCTAAAATAAAGGAATTGTTATTCTTCGCTAAATCACCAACTAAACAATGAAAGTAAATAGTAGCTGATCGTACCAAATGTGCTGCTAGGTTCAATTCCAAACTTGTTCTATTTCAAGATAAAAAATCTGAAGTTTTTGAGGCATTACGCACGTCCCTTAAATCCAAGCTGCAATTAGTAAATCAAGTGTCGTATAATGAAATTCGGCAAGGCACTAGTATTGTGATTAAGCAAGCCAAATGTGCCATTTCCCTATTGTTATTTATTTTTCCTATGTGATCCCTCCAGCTACAATCTTAATATCATCGCTATCACTGTTTTTGACATCACTACTCGATCTTAAATCTCACCGCTACGTTGAACAGGCGGTTGAACGGACTCGAAATCTAAGCTCTTGAAAAAATGGTGGAAGGAGAAATATAGTTGACCGCATGTCGGCGATGCCGCGATTTGAATGGGAAAAGGAGACACGTGGTAAAACAGGTAAACCACACGAGTTAGGCGAGAAGACACGGCAGTCAAGATCGTCCCGACATTTGCTTCGTCGCAGGCTGCGTTTTTCCACACCTCGTTGGTCAGTTGGCTTCGTTCCTGTGCATGTCTCTCCCTTCGCTTCGTTCGATGTTTCAACAAAAGGGTCCATTTGTTTCTTATTAACAAAACTGCCCCACCCCCTTGACCTTGTTCTTACGAAAAGCCAGCTTTAACCGTCGTAATCAGCTCAATTTGAAGGCGAGAGGAATGGACAATTATTTTACTGAAATCCTTGGCAAAACTCACTTCAGTCTCCAGAAAAATCTAAGGAATTAATTGATGTTGATAAAAACAAACATCGAGAATAGCCAGATTGGCCGTTCACGAAATAGAAAGTGTCAAACATGATCAAAAAAGGTTCAGAATTAGAAAGTGGTGGCTAGAGAGGAAAGAGAGAAGAGTAAAACAGTCAAATTTTATCAACTTGGGTCATGGCTATGGAGCTTCAAAAAAAAACAAAAGAAGAAACATTCTGAGAACGTATATATCACCCACCAACACTGCCTTACAACAAGGCAACATCTGAGTGGAAGTGTCAAACACCAGATCAAACTATACTAAAATCGAGAAAGATACGCAAGTCTGAAGATTTATCTTTGAAAACGTGGAGCAGCAAAGGCCATCCTTGATGACATCATGGAATGAAAATACTAGTAGTTGTAGGGCCTGATAAACCACATCATAGACTATGTTCAGAATGAATCAAGCACACAAGAAAACAACATAAAGAGATTTCTCACAACCACATACCAGTTAAGCTTCACCAATAACAGTACTTTTGTTCTTGAAGTTTAGTTCAAGTTACTTCATCAACATGAAGGTCATTGCAAGAGGACAACTAACTAAATATAGACATGCCAGCCTGTTAAACATTGTCAGAAACATGCAAGTAGTTCCTATGATGTAAGAATCAGTTACGATCACTGGTTCAATCATACCCATGCAGTGGGGAATTAAGATTGTGCCATGTTCTGACCTTAGATTCGGTGGAAGCTCTGCTGAAAAGAACATTTTTAAATTGAGTTTGATGTAGCCTTCGGGTCACAATCCAAATATAAAAACTTTATTTTGCTGTCTTAATTTAAAATGACAGCATTTGTTTTGTAGGAAGTGCTCAAGTTGTGCAAACTTCCACCACAGAGGATATAAGAAGTATCCCCTTGTTTCAAGGACATGAAACATCATGAGGATTTAATAGTGAACTACAACTGCACCCAAACTCTGCTTATCAAAAGATGAAGCCAACTCAGCCAACAACTTCATGCACTTCATCAATTATTCCAAAATTCTCTCAACAATATCCAGAGCATATGCAACTAACCAAGTGTTTAGTAAAATGATTGGGCTACACTGCCTATACATGTTCACCAAAAATGTGAGCTACGAAAGAATAAGAACCATGCATGACAAAGGTTAGCGAATTTTAATTAATACTTTATACGTTGATGCTTGCAGCTACAAATACGTAGTTAATACTAGAAAAGAAAAAAGTATATTAAAACCAAATCTTATTTAGCAGTGATAAATAATTGGTCTCCAAATATTCAACAACAAAGCCGCAATCTACGAGAACACTTAGGACCAGAAGTTACAGATATAATAACCAAAAAATTGCAGTAGCTTGAGAGAATGATACCAAAGAAACACTGCCTAGATTACACAAAGGAAACTGGCAGTTGCATTTAAAAATGGTGAAAAAACAAGCGCACCCGAAGCCCATTTTGAGCATAACAACAAACACCTAGTAAACATTACGCGTTCATCTACCGAAGCACGTCTCCTTCAGCTTCTGAGCTGCTGTTTCATCCACCGAGTACTGCAACCATGCGAAGACCCAATAAATTTCAAATGTTTTATATGAAAAATTATATGTACTAATGTTATTAGACGTGAATTCAGAGTTTAGACGAACCTTGTTGAGTACCCACAGAGAGTGGTTATAGGCGCGGTGGAAGAGCTCGTCGAGGGCTTTGGAATCGGAGGCGTCGACGTCCCTATAATTAACGAAGTTCTCGCGGGCGTATTTAGCGTAGTAAGGCCTCGAGTCCTTCGGTAAGCGCCTCACCAACCTTAGCACCTGAGCGTAAACTCTCAACGCCTTCTCCATTCTTCCCTTTCAAAAAACCACTGCACTTTGATGTTCCATCTTAGAGGTGTTCTGTCTTCCTTGGACTGCTAATCGGCCCATTAATCCGCATCTAAAACAAAATGATTCCAGTTGAGTCAGGGCGGCCTAGACAATCCTTACCAACGGGCCATATTTGTGGGTTTGGCGGGGCAACTCGGCCCAGAAAATGACTATACATGTTTTTTTAATTAAAAAAATCTATGTTTTACTGAAATGAAGTTTTTACGTTGCACGATTATTGATATTGACATGAGCAACCCACCAGTCTAGATTATCTTGCATGGGACAATTCCTACTAGAAATCAGTACATTAGAAAACTATGATCCATAAAAATTAAGTAGAATTATAATCAGCTCTAAATGGCGATTGGCTAAAATCCAATTTCACAAGGGCTCAACAGATAGTGCAATGCGAGCTAGATACTCCATCTCTATCCCATCCTTGAACTCGATTGGTTGTCGGCATTCAATCTAATTAATTAAAGCTGAAAAATGAAATAATTTGCCGGCGTCCGATATAAGTAAACGACAAAATTTATGATTCCCAAGATGCTGTCGAGACAATGATAGGATAAAAACGGAGATTAAACGACACGGGGTTTTAGTTTTTCTCTTCCTGTTAATTTTTTTGTGATCCAAATTCAGACATGCAAAATTGTCCAATTTCGCATATGGAAGGACGCGTACAGGCCGCTACACATCCAGAAAACGTCAAACTACCACGTCCCGCCTTTGCTATAGTCCATGCAAACGACCATCGTTTTCTTTCCCAGGTCTTAAAACTAGAAAATTAAGGAATTGAAAGGAAAGTGCAAGAAAAATCAGCTGTAGTAAATAAGAAGATCATAACCAAATCCACAACTGAACCATTTAGCACCACCAGTTCCAGGCAGTTCTTAAATTTCGTTCTTTCGTGGCTTATGTTACTTGCAAGTTGGCCAATCTACCATCACTAGTTCTTTCCTTAAATGAACAGCAGCATGAATCTTAATCACTCAACTCTTTCTCATCTCACAAGCACTCCAAACTACACAACCCCTGAAACCCACGAAGCAAAAATGAGGGACATTTGGTCTTGGATATGTGAGCTTCCTAACTCAGAAGAGTGGGCCGAGTCTGACTCACCATTAATCTTTACTCTCGCGAGTACTAAAGTACGGAACCAAGGCGATTCGACTCGTTCAATCCAACTCAGAGCTGAGCATACCTCCGGGTCCAATTCAGAGGCCTTGGTGACCTTCAGCATATGCTTTGAAGGTTTTCAAGCTTCCAATTCTCAAAAGCCTCTCTGGGTTTCTGACACGTGCCCTCTATCTTCAGAGCAACCGTTCCTCCCTCTAGTACTCCAGCTCCTTCAAGAAATCATCAACCGTTCACCAGCAGTGCCTGACAGCACCTGCCCAAGGTCCCAGCTCCAGAGACTCAAAACGGAACCCATCTCTTGGATCATGGAGTCTCACTCACCAGACTCATTTTCAAGGTTCTTTAACCTGGTCTTTCTCACGCGCTTGTTTTGGTTGTGTGCTTGTGATGCTCCTAGTGAAGTTGGATCCTTCTATTTTCATTCTTTACTAGGTCCAAATATCGAAGCCTTAACGTGTAAAGAAGCGCCTGTGCTGCGAACCTTTCTGGTTTCCGTTGGTGTAGACACCGAGCTATGTTTCATGCGAACCTTGGGGTATATTTTGGCAAAATGGATCATTTTAAGGGAGGTTAGCGTTGGATTACAAACATTAACTCCTTTGCCAGGGCAGCACTTGGGAATTTCATATGCAACTGAGGCTCATGGCTTTTGGACCTTGAAGGGATATGCGCCTGTTAACGCAATGAAGCTGACGCATCCAAGTAATCCAAAAAGTATATTTCCCGCCATTGGAGCCAAGGAGTCTTTGTTAAGGTACGCCCTGGCACACCAGCAGCTTGAGGCAGTCATTCAATTGGAATACTCCGTTGGATTCTATGATGGCTATATTCAGGTAAATGCCCGTGTTGATAACTTACGCTTCCACGTGGCTAAATTAGGATTCCGTAAAAAAGAGGACGACATGGATTATTTTGAGGAGAGACATTTTCCATCGAGGATCCGGGTTTGGGTTGGGCCGGAAGTTGGGTCAACATACGTGTACGGGTTAAGCTTGGGTCGCTCCACAAACAATGGAGAAAGTGAAATAGAAACGCAAAGACTCGTTAAAGGGAGCTTCGGAAAACTCAAAAATCCACAGGTTAAAGCCAGAGCAAGAGTGTCCTTGAGGAACAAGATGAAGAATTGGAGGTGGGATCAAGACGCCGAAGGGAACGCTGCGGTGTTCGATGCAGTTTTATGTGACAACGTGACAGGTCACGAAATTGCCACATGGAACTCGTTCAATTATGGTAACGGTGGCAAGGGCGACAATAGTTTACAGAATAGGTATTATGGAGTCAATAGGCCATTTACGAAAACTGGTGGGTTGGTTTTTGCTGGGGATGATTATGGAGAGCAAGTAGCGTGGAGATTAAGCAGAGAAATGGAAGGAAGTGTTCTGAAGTGGAGAATTGGAGGGGAAGTTTGGCTAAGTTATTTGCCTAATAATGTGGGTACTTCTTATATCGAGACAAGGTGCGTGGAATGGTGTGACGAAGTTGATTTGCCATTGATTACTGCAACATAGAATGGGAGATTTTCAGCTTGTAGACATATTGCGTATAATGTAATGGCACTTATTATTGTAGAAGCTTCCCTAGGCCCAAATTAGCTTCCACAATCGTTCTAGGTCAGTCCTTTCGTAGGAGAAATGTACTGAACAAGAGTAGTAGTAATAAAATTTGGCAGCCCATCAAAAGCTTTTACTGTTCTTACTTCTGTTATTTTTTTTCTGGCTATTTTTCTCACTTTGCTGTCTCATATATAAATAGTAGTGATTGGTTTTAATGTTTGATAACCATCTTGAAATCAATCAAGAAAATCCCGATGCTTATTCAAAAAGAAAAAGGGGATTTAGAAAGCAAAAGAGGAGTTTGAAAAATGTCTTGAATGCTGTGCATTTGTTCTAAAAAGACGGTCAACGTTGGTGAAAGTAAAATTTAGAATTAAATCTCGTCGAATTAAAACTCAACATTGGTGAAAGTAGGAAAATAGTCTAAACAGCAGCTAAAAAGCACATAAAAATATTGTAATTTGTTGAGTTACCGTGGCTTAAGCTTTGGAGGCACATTCACTGTTTTCTTTCCTTTCTTGTTTTTCCGGATGATCGTCATCAGGCTTTGAGATTGTTGGTCGCAGACTTACGGTCAGTACTTTACTCATTGTATAACTTTTTATTTTCCCAGTTTTTCTCTTACATTCATACTCACTCTCTTTTTCGGAGGAATATACTGTCCTTTCTCTCTTAAAAGAATTAGGATCAGGTCTTCTTTGCTATATTATGATTTTCTTTTCTTTTCTTTTTTGTAATTTTACTCTTGAATTATATATGTGATCACTGTATCTTCGTCTAGCACAATTTTACAGGATTTCTCTCATTTCTTTGAATGATCTGTTGTTGGCATCTTTGAGATTGAAACTAGGGTTTACTATTGTTGGGTTTCTCTTTGTTTTCCTGTTTGGTGTGGCTTCAATAATTGAGATGGTTGCCAAGTGCTATTATTCTTGATATGTGTTTAGTACTATTTTGCATAAGGATGCTTCTTTTGGTTCCGTACATTACCAGTATAATGTTCCATTTGAACAGGACTCACGTTTCAAATGACGAGCATCCTTGAAGTTACCGAACCAAAGTGTCTATGCGGACTTCCTGCTACACTGAGAAAATCTCGAACCTCCCCAGGTCTCATTAGGCTGTTCTACGACTGTCCCAGGGATGGTGAATCTGTAAGTATTTCTTTGTTTCTCTTTGTACTTTTGGAATTTGCCATTTCCGTGCCTTGAGACAATGGTCGTAATTGTCCGTCCTGGATATTGCTAGCAATGTGCATTCTTCTGTTGGTTTGATGAGATACTTCCAACAAATGATAGACACGAAGTGCTGGAAGAAGAAATAATCAATCTCGAACGGTTACTTTGCTATGAAAGGAGTATCTGGGAGCAAGAAAAATTAGAGTTAACATCCGAATTGTCTATCCTTAAAGCAGAGCTAGACGGTATCAAAGAAAAAATCAAAATAGCAAACGAGTCGGAACTTATGCCTCCTCTCGATAGATTATCCACCGCAGATGAGGCCAATCAGTCAACAATAGATCTGCATATGGTACCCCAACAAGAAAGACATGGTGCAGAAGCAATTGGTCCCATACCACTCAGTCCTCAATGAGAATTTAGCCAACCAAAAGTCTTCAATCTTTTCAAAATTCCTCAACAGCCAATAGATACAATCAATTAGTTTCATCCAAATCTTCAGTAACATTGCCCCTCAAAGACCTGCAACACCAAAGGCTTTGGTCCAAAATCCGCTCCTCAATCCCGCCTACATCTTCAATAGAACGTGTCTGTCGTTGACAGACACCAAAACAAGTCCAAGATCAACTCCCCAAAATCAAACCCTTAAAAGAAAATTGAAGAACTTTCTTCAATGCAAAGGCTCCCTCCAGAGTCCCCTCCAAACCAGAAATTTCAAAGACAATGCAAAGGTACACTCCAGAGTGTAAAAATATCCAAAAAGCTTCCCCCTCCTTGGCCTCCTCCAAAGTTGCACAGTGTTTTCAAGTAAGTAACTTGGGTTTCATCTACTCTCTAATTAAATGCTGTGCCACGACTTGTGATGGAGCTACTAGCAAAGGCTAAAGCCAAATTATTCACATAATGCTCATTAGCCTGCGAATATCATAGACACCTGAGTTGGAGAATGATTTGATTTGTCAGAACAAACTATTCTCTGGAGACTAGCTCAGAAAAGTTCTTAGAACACCTATGTTTTTTGATTTGATTTGTCATGATTTCATGTTCCAGATTTCATGTCCAGTTGACTAAGAACCTTCAGGTTGATGTTCCAATGAGCATAAGTTACCTCGCTCAAGATGCTTGGTTTTTGCCTTGCAAGGGAGAGCCCCATTTTTTTCCCTTTTGCTTCAAGGAAACAAATATGAATGTTTTGCCTAGCCGCCCACGGCTGCAGGATATGGGCTCGAACTTATTTTCTAGGCCTATTTTTGAAGAGAAATCCATCTGGAGCATTCTTTATTTAATAAAATAAATGTGCTTCTTGGATTGCTTAATTAATTGGGCCAGGGTGCGATTGGCATATCTGGTTGCTCACAAGAATTCTCCTCGTTTTTATAAAATATCAGTTACAGGGGCAGAGGGGAGAGTGACGTGTGAAGATTCTATATATTAAGCGTTCCAACTTTCCAAAGAAGTGGTGAATTTAAAATTGGAAAAAAAAAATTGCCTAGAAATATGGAACTACTTCAATTAATGGTGGTACTGGCTGTTTGATAGTTGGCACTTTGGGCATATAGGCTAAGGAAATGGAGAATCAAAATCCCAGATCCGTTGCCTCCTCTTTCGGAATCATATCCTATGCAATTGTCAGTCACCCGAACCATCATCTACCTTTTCCAGTAATCGTTTTCATTGATTGGGTTGAAGGGTACCCAGCAAAAGAGAGAGGACTGTCATTCATTTTAACTTCTTTTTATGATGATGTTCTTTGAATTTACATAGCAAAAAATGTAAAAATTTAAGTTTGTCTAGATAGCAGAAACTTGTTTTGATTCTCTTGGTAATTTCTTTTTAAGAAACTTGACTATACAAAGTCTCAGATTAATCAAAAGTTTCTTATTTACTCCAAAATACGCTGCTTGCCAATAAGTTACACTGGTTTCCCGATAATCTGATCAGGAAACTTTCTCACCGCCACCGTGATTGTTTGATGAAAAATAATAGTAGTAGTAGTGGTAAATATTGAAAAAAAGACAAATCTTTCTAGTGATTCTCGTGATGACTGTGTCAGGCTCTTACGTAAACAACATGGCGCCGCGTGTGCCATGCCGATGGTCCTTTCTTTTTCCTTAAAGGTATATGTGGGTCCCACGTTTCTGCCGCTGCGCTTGTATGCCGTGTTTGTCAACGTATCATTCAACATCTCAACCCCACACTCCCCACCAGCCTCGTTGCTCACTGTTCTTACTTCTTAACTGCTCTGAGTTCTCACCTTTTTCTTTCCCATTTCATCTTCTGTTTCTTCGTCTTTGCTTGGTGAGTTAGTCATAAGTTTTTGGTTGGTTCTTTGCTTCTGGGTGGTGTCCGTTGGGGGTGGTGATGGACGATGGAGAGTGGGTTCTGGTGCGGAAACCCGCGGAGAAGGACATTTGGAACCCCACCTCCATGGCCCTTGCCGACACTTCCAAGCCGTTGAAAGTTACGTTCAGTGGACCTGCCAAGCACTGGACTGACGCAAGTCCCATCGGAAATGGTCGCCTTGGCGCCATGGTGTGGGGCGGCATTGCATCGGAAACTCTCCAGCTCAATGGTAATTAAATTCCAAAAGCACCCCATTACATACCTTATTTACAGAAAAGAGGAAGATTTTCTTGTTCCTTTTTTTCGCATTATACATTTTCTTGTAGCTTTTTATTTTCAATGTAACACTTTTATGTTATGACTAAAAGAAATGATCAAAAAGTTTTTAACTTTTTATACCTTTTTATCTTTGTTTTTGGTGACTATAAAGATCAATTGAAGATTTGATATGCAATGATGTGAATCGGTTGCTATTCTGTAATGTGTACAAAAGCAAACTTTAATTAAGCAATGATGTTATTGCTTTGTAGAGGACACTTTGTGGACTGGGATTCCAGGGAATTACACGAATCCTGATGCTCCACCCGCCTTAGCGGAGGTTAGGAAACTTGTTGACAGTGGTGAATATGCTGAGGCTACAAAAGCAGCGGTCAAGTTGTCAGACCATCCCTCTGATGTACGGTTATTTGTTTTATCTCTAGCATAACTATATTTTTCTTATCGTGTATGCTAGTGTGTTTGCGTTTTTAGATGTCATTTCTCATTTGAAACCATATTGCTAGGCGGCATTGGATGTTTAGTTACTTGGGTGGATAACGAAAATTTGTTATTTGGACATTTTGTATCTATTCTATGACCAGAATATGGGGTTTAAACATAATACTACCTCAATTTTCTGAAGCAGAAGAGACATGTTGAGAGATGGACTACAAAAATACTTATTGCATAATTTATGCATCTGTTGGCTTCCCTTAAATTTTGCTGCTTCTGGCTCGAAAAGCAGTGAAATAGTGAAGGCTCTCATTTAATTGTGCTGTCTCCTGATTTTTCTTCAGTTTGTCCATGAGGTTTGCCTACTTACTGTATTGTTCTTGCCAATTGCCTCAGAGCTTCTTTTTATAGGAAACTTTTGAGCTTTGGACTACAGCTTCAATGAATTCTTACTTCATGAAACATCAAGTTCTGGTTCAAGCTCTGTTCTAATGATCTTTTTAATGATGAAGGTTTACCAACTTCTGGGGGATATCAAGCTAGAGTTTGATGATTCACATATTAAGTATACAGAAGGTACATATCGCAGAGAGCTTGACTTGGAATCTGCAACAGCAACCGTGAAATATTCTGTTGGTGATGTTGAATTTACTAGGGAACATTTTGTTTCAAATCCTGATCAGGTTATTGTAACAAAGATTTCTGGAAGCAAACCTAAGTCTCTGTCATTTTCAGTTTCTCTAGACAGCAAGTTACATCATAATTCTCAAGCAAATGGGAAAAATCAGATTATAATGCAAGGAAGTTGTCCCGGTAAAAGAATCGCACCAAAAGCTAGTGTGAATGAGAATCCAAAGGGAATTCAGTTTGCTGCATGTCT